GATGCCAATTAACCAGGCTTCCTAAAGCCTTTACTTACAAATGCAGGAACTCGGGTACTCAGGTGAGTCAGCGGGCAGTGACTCCTTTATGATTAGCAGTACCATCATCAATCTGTGGAGTTGTAAAAGAAATCCCTGACCACTGTTCCTCTCTCTGGTGCTCCCTCCTTACATGGAAACAGCAACTGCCATTTGTGACTAGGAGCTAAAACTAATCTATGTTATGCCATTTGTTCTCTTTATTCCTTTCCAGGTTTGGGTCTCGCTGTGCCAGAATATTCCGTCTAGTTTTGCAAAAGAAACACCTGGAACAGAAGCAGGTAGAAGACTTTGCAATGATTCCAGCAAAGGAGGCAAAGGATATGCTTTACAAGATGCTCTCGGGAAATTTCATATCACTCCAGGTAACCAGTGGCATAAGTCACCAACCAGTGGAGCTGGCCGAGGGTGAACGAAACTTCTGAGGCAAACATCCTGAACCCCAAGCAAACTCTCTCTCCAGCTCTGAGACAGAAAAAAAAAGATGTAACAGAGACATAGCAAGCACTTGAAAGAGAACTGGGAAGCTTTAAGTGGCCTAGTTAAAAAGAGGCACAGCCAAGAAATCACCCCAGAATTGCCCTTTTTCCTTAGCTCCTAGTCCTTGTGATTTGTCCTTTTCTCAGGCCTTAAGTCTATTATAGATTAAATCTGCCAACAGTATCTATTGGGTCCTCACTGTGTGCACAGCCATATGGTATGCCCTATGAGGAAACAGACAGGATGGATTAGGAAATCAGAATCACAGTTCTGCCTCTGACCCAGTTACACTGAGCAAATTACCTACTCTCATTTTTCTCATCAATAAAATGGTGATGGATGGTGGTAATAAAAATAATATGGTTTGCCCTAAAGATCAAATACAATCTACGTGGTACACAGGCATTGCTCAGAAAATGTTAATTGCCTTCTCTTTCTTCCCCACTGAGGATGCCTACAGTCAAATAGAAAAAGCTCTCCATGTGGCTGATTTTGCTGTAAACACAGATGCTGAATGACTGGGGAAGAGGAAAGTATTAAGTGAGAGAGCTGAGTCGTTCTGGATGGGACAGGTGTTTACTTGGCATTTCTGAAGAACAGTATGACTTCTTTTCTCTTTCTTTCTATGGACAAATAGGAAATTCCCAAAACACCAGACCATGCCCCATCTAGGACCTTCTATTTATATACTGTGAACATCCTGTCAGCTGCCCGAATGTTGCTGCACAGGTGCTACAAGGTAATTTCTTCTGGACCTTCTCCCCACTCCCTCCACACAGACAAATCTCACCCACATGCCCGCTTTAGCCATTTTATTTGAGCTACTTAAATAGAACCATGTGCATTTCTTGTCTTCTCTCCCTTCAGAGCATAGCCAACTTGATAGAAAGGAGACAATTTGAAACGAAAGAGAACAAGTGAGTAGCATTTTCAGTTGAGTAATTACATTTTTCAAGGTCAAAGTCTTGAAGGGAAATTTCCTGTAGAAATAAAAACCAAGAGAGACAATAACTTGTCTAGTTGCATTGAATTACTGGCTTAGGTTGACCTAAATCGTACATTAGTCTAAACTGTTCTGATATACCCCCAGTGAAATAATTTTGCAGATTAAATTTATCAGAAATGTACAAACTGGCATTAAACTTTAAGTGCAGATAGAGGCAGTGAGAGCTCTAGGGGTGAAGTCATATTTCTAGTTAAACTT